CTGGTTGACTAGTTTGTTAGGGTTAGTGCTAGTGTCTGGCTAACTAGTTTACTCCAACCATAATCTTTGTTTTTTTTTTGTAAAGTCACGTAGATAGGTTCAAATTAATAAAAAATCAAATAAACCAAAAACTACGACGTTTCGTAGTTTTTTTTTCATCGATCGCTTGTGTTGCGATCGAAACGGCGTCGTTTTTTGTTTATTTTATTTTTTATTAATTTGAACCTATCTACGTGACTTTACCGATAGACCCAAAGAATATGAATTCCTGCAGACTCGAAAGCTTTAAATCAAGATTTTACTCCAACCATTTTCACTTTTCCACTCTCCTCCGTGTCCACGTGTTGGCAACTCGCCTGTTTTTGCTTCCATATTTCGCCTGCAGGGCCCCCCCCCCCCGTAAGTCGCTTGTTAACCAATCGTTGGTATTCGCCAGATCGTCGGCGAAAGCATTGCCGATGTCTCTCTGCACGTGCACGTATGTGTACTCATGTTGAACTTCTTTCGCACCGTACGTAGCCAAACCCTGCTAATCGGCGATGCCAATCTCTGCATCGTCATCATCCAAACTGGAACATTTCGCCCATGGCTTCTGTCAAGTTCTGTCAAGTTGTGATGTTGCCTTTTTATTCCCCGGTGTTTACTCTGGCCAGCAGCAGAGTGCCGAGTTAGCAGAACCTCGCGCCGACAGCCACTGACTCCGAAGACATCGTAAATAAAATTACAACCATAATGATGAAGTCCATAATGAATTGAGTATGCAGGATTGGGCACGCGAGCAGGAAGTGTGGGTGGCTTGCGTGTTTGCTGGCAGTCGGTAAACTCAGCGGTTTGCGCTGCGCTACGAACCCGGCGACCCGAGTTCGATTCCCGCTCACGGTCAAAAACAATGGCGCATATACGAACCGGTCCCGAGGCTACACGAGGTCGACTCAGCCTTAAATGACTAACCGGGTGCGGTGTGCAAACATCAGCACCGGGGAGACAAAGGCGGCCGGGCGTAGTGCTGGCCACCCACCCCGTCGTGTGTCGTTCCGGCCTTGGTGGGTGCTCGCTAACAGCACTTGCCCCAACAGTCTGTTAAGGCTACACGGGGGATATTCGTATTTGTTTACCCACGCACACTTACCGCAGCGGTCTGTTAAATGTTATACGTGGCGCGGTACTTTGTCTTCATATGCAAGCGTGTGGATGTGTGTGTGTGCATGGGTTTAGCGGTCCGCATCAGTTAGCGCGCTGCACTACGACCCGAGTTCAAATCAACTTCAAGTAGGAGCCATATCGGTGTGCGAAAATCAGCTCTGTCAATACATATGATAATGAATTCATTTAAATATCCTCTCTATATATACACATTAAAGTCAGTGGCAGACCGTCGTACAGACTGGGTGAATCTTTGTCTAAATTACCATGAGGGAGCTGAAGTCTCGCTGGCTAAGAGGCTATGCCCTCCACCACGCCATCAATCTGAGCTCAAGTTTAGGAGCTGAATAAACACGTGTGCAGGAAGGAGGTTTTTTTTATTCGTATGTGTTGGACGTAAGTAGTTCAATTGACCCCTGCAGCCGCTAGATGACGATATACTCATCTTGCCACCTTGGGGTCCAATTGTGGCAAGATGTTAACTGGCTCGCCTGGTATGGAGGAAGTTGTGGGTTCAATCTCAACCCTGACGCCTGCTGTATATTTGGAGTTTGCAAGGTCTCCCCGTGGTCGCGTGGATTTTTTCTCCGGGTGCTCCGATTTTTTTCCTCCAATTTAGAAAAATGCGTTTTGAGTAATTGGTCGCTGTAAAATTCCACGTGATGAACCGCTTCGCTGAGCTATCATTTGTGGCCAGGTCGCTTCTGAAAAAGAGCTACATAGCTCAGTGGGCATCACCTGGTAAAACAAAAAATTGTTTAGTTTTCAATGAATTTGAAATAAATATTGGATTTGTTTTGTGACTACCGATTAATTAATGTAACCCACGCACACTGTTCGATTCAATATATCCAGGAGATAAATCCCAATACCGAGGTCTGCTGCCCACGACAAGCGGGCTTCAGAAGCGAGGGACATTGTCTAGTTTTGCCGTTCCTCCTCCGTTGAAGGAGCTAAGACTATCGCGGTTTGCAATTTTGTCTATAGTTTGGTTGGCAATACGGTCTATAGTTTGGTTTGCAATATGGTCTATAGGAATGTTTACAATTTGGTTTATAGTTTGGTTTGCAATATGGTCTATAGTTTGGTTGGCAATACGGTCTATAGTTTGGGTTTGCATAGCCGTAATATACAAGTGGATGACGCTCCTCTACGCGTGGCTCTGTCGCCACCACGTGGCTCTACGCGGATTGGTAAATACAGAACCCAAATAAATAGGCATGCGATTAAAACATTACGGCCACATGGTAAAGGTGCAGCCCTGTAATTGCATGCTCACCTCACTGCTGGCAAAAGGGCCTCCACAAATAGTGGGAGCTCTATAGAGCCATATCTTACCATGGTATTTTGGCCTTCTCTTCAACGCTGTACCGCACATCTTGGAAAGACTTGGGAGTCACCTACACCTCGCCGCACCAAACGCGACCTGCCAATAGACTAACTGTGATGGATCATTCTTATTTGGTTCTTTCGGTAAAGTCACGTAGTTAATTCTACGTGACTTTACCGAAAGAACCAAAGAAGATGAATCATTGCAGTCACGAAAGCTTTAAATCGAAATGTGATGGATCCATTTACACTGCCGAATGCACCGTGTCGGGGGGGGTAAGCGACGTACTGTCCCCCATCATCAGGGAACCAAATAATTCGCCTTACCGTTGAGTGTGACGGCAAAAGCCTATGACACACACACACATATATATCTAAGCCGCAAACGAGACTAGAGTGTAACACCAGGGAGTGGAAATTGGCCGGAACGACCCGGATGGTCGGGGTGGGAATGAAAATCTGAACTCGACTGTGTCCCGGAAGGAAACCAAGAGACCCGTGTAGCGGCTTGTAGTCGACAGTTCCCGGAGTCAGTTTAACATTTAGTAGCAATGGTAGCAGGAGGAGGCTTTCGCGACCAACATTATCCATAATAGAGGCTTTTTGGGTTGGATAAGCGTATAAATAAATAAACCTTGTACCTCGTATTTGTTCACTCTGTGTTGTTTGCCGACTGGTTTTGCATCACGTAATGTTTTCTTAGGTTTGTTGAATTCTCGTCTCTCATCTTCTTGTTGTATTTACCTCCGTGCAGTTTAACGCTCTCTATGTGTTGCGTTGATGTCACCCTATGTGCTCCCTCGCGATTTGTTTTTTACACCTGATGAAGATCGCTTGTGTTGCGGTCGAAACGTCGTGATTTATTTTAATATAATTGTATTGGATTTCTACATACGTGACTACCGAAAAAAACAATGAGACACATTTATACATTTACGCGATCTAACCCAAACAAAAAAATATATTATGGATTGCTCCGAGTCTATAACATGTCGTCAGGCAGATAAACCACGACGTGGAACACGTCTTTTTTGTTTAACGTGACTTGTTGAATCAACGAAGCTTGGGACGTACCCTTTAAAAAATACAAACCCCCTAAACTTTCCCCCTGTGGTGTTGGTGGTGGTGGCTAGGCGGTGGAGCGAGTGCCTCGCAATCAGAAGCGTGCGAGTTTGACTCCTGGTTGAGCGGTTGACTCGGCCCTTCATATTGTGCCACTTTGCGGGGAAGTCAACAGTGGTTGTCCTATGGATAAACTCACACCCGCCCCCCAACCCCCAAATAGGAATGTGAAATTTCCACCACTGGCTCTGGGCTGCAAACATCAAGCACCGCTTAAATGCTCATTGGTACATCCCTGTGTTGCAGGAACCTCCTGAACGAGAGCCTTGTGAAACTCCTGAGCGAGGCTTTCCAGGATAAATAAAGACGCCACTCGGTAAACGTTCACCTTTGGGCCAACAACGTTGGTTGACGGCGCGAACGTTTTCACGTTTACTGGATACTGCCTGCTGCAACAGAAGTCGGAGAGGCGACGCTCAGATAAAATATACCGCAAATTGGCACAGTCAACGGAACAGCAGGTGGTGCATCTGCCAGCCACATTGGACGGGGTAACTCAAAACATCTGCCTCTGTCCGATCCGCAGCCTCCTTGCCAGCGGGCCTTCCACACTTCACGTGTATGCAGGCTTTGACGACGTGCACCTAGCCTGGCACGAGCTCCCCACTGACAACTCACTGGCTGCGTCTGCTGCTTGCTGCTGTTGCCGTTGTGTGGGTTGTAGGAATGGGAACTTTCGTGGATCTCGTCCCTACGATTTGTCCGACTTTCCGGACAAAACAGAATGCCCCCCACCCCTACCAGTGGCGTAGTAACTCGGGTTGTGTCAGTGGCGTAGTAACTACATTACTACATTGTGCTGCTTACGTTCAAACGGAGTTCAAATCTCAGCTAGGGTCAAACTATAGCCCATTGTCGTCAAGTGTTTGTCACTTGCTGTGGCAGGGATTGGCGGTCACCCCGGTTAATACTGCGAGAGTGCTCGCCGTTTAAGACCCCGTGGCACGATTCGACAAAGAGAAATGGCTCCTTTCTCGACATCTCGGTCTTGCATCTTTAGTCTCCCTCTCTCTCTCATTTATTTTCCTCCTTTACACGCGTGGCGCTCTGACATCCATTGTTCAAGGGCGTCTTATACATCTAAATTATTGTCGTTGTTGTGGTGTGTGCCGGTGCCATGTTCAAAATTGCATACATCGCTCGCAGATGACTTCCTCTGATGGTCCCTTACGTGGCAGACAAACAGCCAAGTGCAGGCCGGGGCTGAGTCGACGTTGTGCCGCACAGGGGCAGCTGCCGCCCCACGTCCCCCCGCCTGCCCCCCCACGAACATTTCCCTCCCCCCTAACCCCCACCCACCACCAAAACCCCCACCGACCCCCATACCGACCCACCCACTCCCCCACCCACCCCCCGATACACGCACAATCGCCCGAACCAGAGTCATCCGCGCAGTCCACACGACGGAGCAGCCATCACCCTTTATTAACACCAAACCCTACAGTCTGCAAACACACGGGACAGCACAAGCATACACAAATGCGTTGCCAGTCTCACTCCACTGCTGGATGAATGAAGGTACCCCCCCCCCCACTACGACATGCGCTATTCGTCCGCGGCTCCTGTCGAGGCAGCTTGGTTATGGCCAGCCCCACGTGCTGCCCTCCGTTTTACCTCTCCCCTTTAGTCGTCCCAGCCCACGCTTCGCACCGGGGTCAAACACAGCGACGTCTTCGTCAAACGAGCTATCGGGGCCTTCACTCATCTCCGAATTGTACGCGTGGGCCGTGAACGACCAATATTATTACTCGTACATTTTCGGTTTAAATCGTTGTGTCGTGTATAAAGCCAATGCTCAGCTATACCCTCCGCTAAACAAATATAGTCGCCACGTGGGCAAATTGTGTATTCACATTGAGATTGGTATGCCGATTTGATATTGGTATGCCGATTTGATATTGGTTTGCCGATTGATATTGGTGTGCCGATTGATATTGATGTGCCGATTGGGAATGGCATGCCGATTGGGATTGGAATATTTTGACAATTGTCAGTATTTTCTCTGCGTTTCAACAATCCTCCAGTTTGTTCCGATTCGCACCGTTAGCTACGTGCGATGCGAAAGAAGTTCAACGTCCGTGCGTAGATACAGTGCTGAAAACAAATTTAATTCGCATACTTGCCCCTGCGTGACAACTCGTTTTTGATTGGCCCTGTCGGGTGGCAGATGCTGTAGCTGAACATTGGCATTATGCCTCCACGATGATCTTACCAAGAATTAACTCGCTATGTTCATCTCCTGTTTATAAACTTGCGCCAGTTGTGGGAGGAGGAGGGGGGGTCAGAATCCATATTCCTATGGCGGGTGCGAATTTAATCTCTAGGAAAACTTACTGTTGCCTTCCCCGCCAATTGGTACTTGAAGAGTGCATGATGTGTAATAGACTTTGCATGCTGTGGGTTATATTGATGCTTGATTCTGCATTGTGCTTGTAAGCAATGGGCTCACTGCAAGTACAGATCAACATTGTCTATTAAAACGAATATTTTGCACACGCACACACACTGGGCTTATAATTGTGTGCAAAAAGTCACATCTCTTATAGGAAACATACCCTTATTCTCATTGGCTGTGACTTAAATACATTTAAACAAAATAGGGACGTGTACATTATTGGTGGTGTAATGATCAAACGATTATGCTATGATTGATTAAGGTCACGGACACCACGCACACATATGGTGTACAGATTTGCCCTGGTCTTCATTGGGATGTGTTCTTTTGTTTTTTAACGGACTTATAATTATCGATCGCATCTTGTCGATCCTCCGAGTGGGTTTATATGCGTTTGAGCAAAGGGCCACGCAAGCAAAAATAAATTGAATTGTAAGTCGAGTGACGACGGAAGTTTGGTGTTGCGGGTCGGACGACTCCGTGTTTGACTCCACTTGAGCTCCATGCCTCTGTTGCTTTACCTAGAATACATAAGAAGAAGCAAAAGACAAAGATCACCCGTATAGCCTTAGCAGACTGTTGGGGCAAGTGCTGTTAGCGAGCGCCTATCAAGGCCGGAACGGCACACGAAGGGGATGGGTGGCCAGCACCACGCCCAGCCGCCTTTGTCTCCCCGGCGGTGATGTTTTTACGCACCGCACCAGGTACTCATTTGAGGCTGAGTCGACCTAGAGGAGGTCCAGGATTGGTTCAGATAATCGTCACTGGTGTTGACCGTGCGCAGGAATCGAACATCGGGTCGCCAGGTTCGTAGCGCAGCAGCTGACAGCTGCACTCAGCCGAGACACGTGGAGAGCCGTTAGCCTGGGCTCCGTCGGCCCCCACCGCCTCTTACATGGCCACGGCCACTTATACCACGAAACATGCCCACAGGACTAGCGGCGTTAAGTCGACGTTTCGGGCAATGGCCTTTCACATCACTTTGAATGACCATTGCCCAAAATGTCACCTTTCGTTCTAAGGCCACAGTGTTTACCAACAATGCGTTGAGTTGTGCGAGCTGTGGTTGAGAAAAGTGGAATGATTCACTCCCCAAAAGACCGTGGGACCGGTGGGTTGTGTCAGAAATAGTTTTGTTTTTAGTTGGGTGGAGAGACGGGATGCTCTTGATGTGAGACGCAAGGTCGTCTGGCTATCTCTTTTTGTTGACGACAGGCAGCTGCAGCCCCTTCCCGCTAGGCGGCGCTAGAGACATCGACACAGGGTAAGAGTCGAATGCATTAAAATCCAGGCAGCCCATGGCATAACATACGCGGTGCATTATTAAATAAATCGATGAAAGTGTATTATTGGGCTTACGATATTCTAATAACATCGATCGAATCATGCGTGCATCAACGATTAAGGAAATAAGAGTATGTATGCTTCGCACAGCATTATGCTATTGGGCATCTGTGAAAGAAACTGGATTATGGATGATATTGGTCGCGAAAGCCGACGTGTTAAACAAACTGGACATCTGTGAACAAGAGCTTCATAGCTCATCGGATTGCTCGCGTCTCAATTAAGTTTCTGACAATCAATTAGCGTGGTTGCGGAGAATATAAATAACAAAAATAGATAAATCTTGATTTAAAACTTTCGTGACTGCAGGCATTCATACTCTTTGGGTCTTTTGGTAAAGTCACGTAGGTGAAGACGATTTGCTTGTTGTAGCGATCGAAACGTCGTGATCTATTATTTTTCTATCTACGTGACTTTACCGAAAGACCCAAAGAGTAAAAATAGATACGCAATATCTCCTCTCATATGTCTGTCTCTCCACTAAATAACAAAGTATATTGATTGTGTAAAACAAAACTTGTATTATTTTGGTATGTATGTATATTGAGAGACACGTATGGAGGACACATTGTCTGCTAATGTATCTTGTCACGTGTTGCAGTTGTGCGTCGAACTCGGACCCATACGTGAACACAGAGAGAGGGTGCTTGACAATACAGTTGCCATTTCGCCAGCATTATTTTAAGCAAGCCTGCCGCTGCTGATGAGACACCCATTTGGCGAAACCAGTCCGGAGTTTGCTTCCAAGGAGCCAATGCTGCAGTATTAGTTCGCCGATGGGATGTGTAAAAAAATATATTTTTTCAAGTAGACAGATTCGGGGAGGTGTTTTGACTGATAATTTAATTTGTTATGCACAGTCTGGCTGGAGAAATTACTGAACGGGGATCGGAATCAAAACGATACATTTGAGACGAGCAAGAGCAGGTTGGAGTGTGTTGCTGATGGCGTGGGGAAACGTTCATCCAGCAGTGGATAAATCACGATTCAAAACGATACACCTTGAGTCATGATCATATAGGGCCCACGATGGGGTTGGTGGCTCACACAGAGATCGGTCTGAAATGCCCTTACTTCCGGTAATAGGAAGCCACTGGAGCTATACACTTTGAAATCATCATCGAGATTGGAAACTAAATTAATTTAAACTGATGTCCGTGTGTTTAGTTCGTTGCCCTTCCACCGCACCTCCGATTAGAACGGTTGGCTACGTACTGTGCAAAAGCAGTTCGACATACATACACACATACACACATACATGTGTTTGTGTGCGTGCGTGTGTGCGTGTGTGTGTGTGCGTGCGTGTGTGTGCGTGTGTGCGTGCATGTGTGTGTGTGTGTGCGAGACTCCCATCCGCTGTGAATTACAAGATGACCAATGCAGCGAGGAGGTTCCTGATCTCTCTCTCTCTGCGTGGATTTCGAGCGCCGTCTCCTCACTGGCACGGGTTTCCTCGGGCACCCATACTCACTGTCCGCCCTGGGAGTCGAATATCTTCTTGCGTCCCTCCATGCCGGACAGAGCCTCGATGTTTTTGCGCCAGTCCCCAACTTCTTGCCGCTCCTGTGCACCGCGAGGCAAAGACAAAGGACCCCCCCAATTCTAGTTTTCGCCGGCCTTTTGAGACGAGTGCTGTTAGCGAGCTCCTTGTTAAGGCTGGTTAAGGCTGGCTTAACAAGGGGATGGCGTGGCAAGCAGCCTACGCCCCTGGCCACCTTTCTTCTTCAGCGCCGATCTTTACGCACAGCACCAGGTGCTCTATATTATTGTGAGTTGCCCCGGTGGAGGGGAGGGGAACCTTCGGACCGGTTGAAATATTTTTCGCCACTGATCTTCGCCGTGAGCGGGAATTAAACTCGGGTAGCCGGCTTCTTAGCCTCACGCGGTGGCCGCTGCGCCACCGGCCCGCACACACGCACACAGACACACGCAAAGACACACACGCACACAGACACGCAAAGACACACACGCATACAGACACACGCAAAGACACACACGCACACAGACACACGCAAAGACACACACGCACACAGAAACACGCACACAGACACACACGCACACAGACACACGCAAAGACACACACGCACACAGACACACGCAAAGACACACACACACACAAACCTTGTCTGTATCCTCCTTCTTGACGGACTTGAGGTTGGCCCTGAGGTCCATGGACACTTTGTGCTTGGAGCCCAGCAGGGCGCGCAGCATGGCGTCGGCCGACATGCGGACGCGCTTCAGGTTGGGACGCTTGAACTTTCCCTTGAGGTCGAAGATCTTCTGGTTCAGGTCGGTGATCTGGTGGTGGTGGTGGGGGGTTGGGTCGTGGAGAGACGATAACAACGATCGCCACAACTCCTCCAAACCATGGAGGAGCCTGACTGGCATAGGCTCCTGATGCAAGGAATAAAATGTGGCAAACCCCATCAAGCTCGGTGGCCAGGAGATGTTAACTCCCTCGCCCGGTATACAGGAGGTCGTGGGTTCGATTCCCGACCCTGACGCCTGCTGCTGTACATTATGGAGTTTGCGTGTCTCTCTCCCCGTGGTCGCGTGGAGTTCTCTCCGGGTCCTCCGGTTTTTCCCCTCCACGTCTAGAATCAACAACGTGCATTCAGAGTATTTGGCTGCTTTAAATTCCCACGTGATAAGCCACTTCGTTGAGCTATCATTTGTGATAGCCAGGTCGCTTCTGAAAACATAACTACACATCTCAGTGGGCCTTACCTGGTAACATAAAAAGTAAAAAAAAACACCTCCCAACCTTATTCGGCCCGTGATCCCTAGTGCAGTTGCACCGCCTGCACACTCGATTAATATACAGTACTACAGTACAGGCCTTTGTCAATCTACTGCTGGATGAGGGCATCCCCTCGCCATGCGGGTCTCGGGGTGGAGACCCATAGACGTGGACGCATATAAGTACAGTACAGTAATACCTCCGTTAACGAAGTTGATGGGTTCGTGGCGTCGCGTCATCGTCAGAAACTTCGTTCCCAGAAGCTTCGCTAGCAGAGGTATTCACTAACTATTTAACTAACTTTTTTTATTATTATTATTTTACCGGTCAAGGTCCACTGAGCTATTTCAGAAGCGGCCTGGCCACAAACGACAGCTCATCGAAGTGACCCCCGTCGTCATGTGGACATCTTACCGCAGCCAAATACTCTTCAACGACCACGCAGAGCGCCACGTTGAACTTTCCCTGCGTCGCCCTCCGCGGACCAACTCATCAGCTCCCACGCGTCCGCAAAGGACGAATCACTTTCGTGCCGTCCAGGCTGACAACAACAACCATCCTCTGCTTGGCTTTACGAAACCCGGTGAGACCTGGGGATAGTTTGGGGGGGGGGGGGGGGAGGGACGGGGTGATTTGATTTGCACTGTGGCCGGGTCTCACCTCCGCCTGGGATTTCTTTACTTTGTACTCGATGTCATATCGCTCCTCGTCCACCACGTCCACCTTCTGGTGCAGCTCCCGGCAGAGTTCCTTCCGGCACAGAAACATACACGGTGACACGCAGAGGCAATGCTCCCCACCCCGTGTGTGTGTGCGTGTGTTAGCGCTACGCTGCTGCGCTACGAACCTGCCGACCCGGGTTCGATTCCCGCTCACGGCCAACACCGGTGACGATTATGTCAACCGGTCCAGCGCCTCCCATAGGTCGACTCAGCCTCAAATGAGCACCTGGTGCGGTGTGTAAACATTGCCACTAGGGAGACAAAGGCGGTCGGGCGTGGTGCTGGCCACCCACCCCCTCGTGTGCTGTTCCGGCCTTCATAGGTGCTGTTCGCTTACAGCACTTGCCCCAACAGTATGTTAAGGCTATATGGGGGATCTTTGTCTTTGACTATTCTAAGCATGTTGGGGCGAGTGCTGTCAGCAAACGCCCGTTAAGGCCACAACAGCACACGAGGTGGGTGATGCGTATGATGAATTTATTTCGTACCGTACGTAGCCAACCGTGCTAATAGGAGGTACGGGGGAAGGACAACAAAACTAAACACAAAAAGAAGTTCTACAGAACTGAGTTTGTCAATGTAGATGATTTAAAAGTGCGGAGCTCCAGTGGCTTCCTGATATCGGAAGGAAGAGCGTTCCAGACGGCCGCAGGAGCGCATCTGAAAGCGCCACGCGATGCGGCGACCGCCGTCTTTGTTCGATGGCCAACCAACAGCGACTGCTGACCAGAGTTCACGTGATGGTTTTCGCGGCTGATACCACACGAAGGTGATTACAATGATGACGATGTTGCTGGCTGCTTGTGCTGCTGTTGACGATGATGACCTTCACCACACCTGCAGCTGCTGCAGAGTGAACCCCGACAGCTGTAGAGGCGGCACGCGCTCCGTCAGCACGTTGTGCTTGTCGTCCTCTCGATCACGCTTCTCTCTCTCCAGGTCCTCCTGGGCCTTGGCGAGCATCAAGCTCTGCACCCTCGCAAAGGCAACACGTCGGAAACGCGTCACGAACACGTCGGGAACACGTCGGGAACACGTCATGAACATACCGGGAACATGTCACGAACACTTCGGGAACACGTCACGAACACGTCGGGGACACGTCGGGAACACGTCACGAACACGTCGGGAACATGTCACGAACACGTCGGGAACACGTCACGAACACATCGGAAACACTTGGGGAACACGTCACGAACACATCAGAAACACACGTCACGAACACATCGGGAACACGTCACGAACACATAGGGAACACGTAATTAACATATCGGGAACACGTCACGAACACATTATGAACACACCGAGATCACTTTGCAAATCCTCATCATGAACACATCGGGAATACAAAATTGAACACATTGGGAACATATCAGGAACACACCGCGAACACACAACGAATAAATATGAATATGGGTCGGGAGATACACCAGAGGTGTGGTAGACTTCTTGTTACGGCAAGTCGTGGCCAGTACGCGGGGTTGTGATCGAATTGGATGCAGATCTTGGGACAAATGAGAACACATTCTGATTCTGAGTGTGGTTAGAGGTGCGGCGAGTTCTGTACTAGGGTCTGGTCGGCTAGTTAGGGGTAGGGCTAGTGTCTGATTGCCTTTGGGGGACCTGAAATCATTTTGAAGGGCGGCGGTGGTGTGGAGGAGGACACACGTTCATCGTTTAAATGCATAATATAGATTTTTGTTCAATAAATGTTTTTGGTTTTAAGTTTAAAAACAATCGGGCACGACGGTGCCACTAGGGGAGTACGTGGGTAGGTAGGCTGACACGTCACAAAGAGAATGCATTTCTCTTTGTGATGCCCTCTGCTCGTGGTGACCTTTAGAGGCTAAGCCCTGTTTAGCCATAGCCGCCCCACCACCCATAGTCATCGTTCAGGAGTCAGTCTCATTCGGGAGTCAATATCATCTTGTTGGAGTCATCATCATCATCATCTGGGATTACATCTTCATCAACGTCATATTTGTCAATGATGTTGTTTTAATCTACATTGTCATCCAGGATTTCATCTTTATCATAGCCATCACCATCGTGAATTATCGTAACGCCATCATCAGCCTTAACCCGAGCATGAGACTTGCCAGTGCCCGAGTCTCACCTTAAGCATGAGCTTGCGAGAAGCCGAGATCTTGCTGACTCTTTTCTGAAAGTGAAAAATAGAACATATGTTTATAATAAATGATTATTATTTGTCACTCCACTGCTAGATGAAGGCCTTCCCATGCCGTGTCAGTCATGAGGGCTGTTTGACCATGCTTGACCTTACTGGTCAGTGTGGGTTAAGTGAGGCAGGGTGTTAGCCGTGCCTCGGAATCGAACTAGGTCGCGGAATTGATTGTGCAGTGTGCTGTCCACTGTGCCACCGCTCCACTCCAAATAAACCGCAGTGCATTTTTTTTAAACATGAATTTATAGACGCAAGTCCATATCTCCAAATCAAAGGCCTATTGCCTTTCGAGACGAATATTGTCGAGCAGCATTTGTTTACGCAGCAAACTCCGGACGCGTTCCCGTCACCACGGTCCGCCCTGTTTTCCAATTTGCTTCCTTGGTTCGCAGATTTTATTGGTGACCGGCTAAGGCCCAAGTCTCACCGACGCATGAGAACCCCGTTTAATCATCACCGGCGGCGTGGAACCCGGATTCGAACCCGGGTTCTCAGTGGCTCCAGCTCAGGAGTGCCCCCCACCCCCTGACGTGGCCATTGTGAGGAGCCGTATGAGGAGGCCCTCTGCCACCTCACTGCTCACTCGACTGACAGGTGCGGGATGAGAACGACTTCGCTCACCTCCTCACTGGAGTCGCCCGCGGAAACCCCACCGGGGTGGTAAGGAAGGGGAGGGGCGAGACAAGTTGAAGAACTTAGTGTTGATCACAAACGACTTGAAGACCGTCAACTATAAACTATTTTTGTGTTTTACCAGGTAAGGCCCCCACTGAGCGATGTGTAGCTTTTTTCCAAAAGCGACCCGACTATCGCAAACGATAGCTCAACGAAGAAGTGGCTTATCACGCTGAAATGTATTGCAGCCAAACACTCTAAACGCGTGATGTTGAATCTAAATAGGGAAGGGAAAAACCTGAGCACCTGGAAAACACATCCACGCGACCACGGGGAGAGAGACACGCAAACTCGAAATAATACAACAGGCGTCAGGGTCTGTATCAAACCCACGACCTCGTGCATGCCAGGCGAGGTATTTAACGTCTCACCACCGTGGCACCTCGCACGCCACGTGCTGCATTGTGTCGAGATCTCAGAGTGTACAAGGACACGCACGGAGCAAGGGCATTCGCGGGGAGAGTGAGTGAACACAACTCCACTTGAGTTTGTGAACTTAAAGGGGCGCGCGTTGGTGAGTGAGATTGCGTGAGTGGCGCCTGCGGCTATCGTGGTTCTGGCGAAAGATCGCCACCAAACTGCCCGCCGCTGCTTGTCTGTGGCTGCTGCAAAGTCTACACGAGGTTCTAAAAGCGTAGCCGGACAAGTGCAGGATTCGAACGCCGCAGTATTAATTCTTAAGAGTTCAGCTGCTAAGACCCGAGGCACTCAGCGCCAGAATAAGGCCCCCTTTTAATTCCTCGCGTTCAGTATTAACCTGGCCCAAAGAACCGCGGGCATTCATTCGTTTGCCGTGAGATGAGTGTAGGTTCAGAAGTAATGCCCAAGGCTCGTCGTTTCCAGCCTAAGGCACCTTTTATAACATTTCGTGTTCGACGCAAATGCCTTGGACTAACGCGCCGTATTAAGAGTGTTTAGTATATATATTTTTTTATTAACAGACAAGGTTTGGACAAATGCGATCGCGGCAAAGACAACTGCTGGGACCGCTTGGTTGTGTTACGACTGCGGTGGACTGTTTAACCTTCGAGCGCGACGTGCATTGTGAACTGGGTGGAAACTTACGGCATCTTGGCTGGTGGAGTCTGACAACGGACGGTGAACTCGGGAGACTGTGGAAAGCGAGACAAGTGTACGCACACACACAAACACACACGCGTGTAGGGTCAACAGAGCCGTCCCCTGGGGTGCACGGCCAATCGGGGCGAAAGCCCCGGGCCCGGCGCTTTGGGGGGGGGGGGGTGACCGCGCGCTTGGACGTCACGGTGTGAGATGTAAACCTTCCGGTTTCGTTTGAAGGAGTCGGGGTGGTGGGAGTTGTCCTAGCCCCCCCCCCCCCCCCCCCGCTTGGACGGCCCCGACTGTCAGACAGAATTGATGACATTATTTATTATTTGAAACCGTGTGTCGTTTTTTTCGAAGAATGTTTGCACGTGGGCTTTCAAACCTTTAATATGACAACATCGTGTCCGTTTACAATTCCTTCGATAGGGGCGGGGGGTGGGAGATGGGTGAGGGTTGAGGGGTGGAGAATCACCGAGACCCACAAATTCAAAATGCGAGTTCCGCTCCTCGATTGCACTTCGTGTGTCTGTCCTGTCCGAACGACTGCCTGCCCGTGTCTCATCCTCTCTTACGGAGTTTCCATGAGCTATGCGCGCACATTCCCTTTCTCTGAACTCGAGTTGCCGTCCGGAGCCTCGCGTTTCTCCACGATCTATATTTGAAGTCGACACACGTGTGGCCCCTGAATTCTGGCAGTCAGCCCGAATTCCCTGGGGTCTGTCATCGCTTCACGCGCTTGCCCAACGAACAGAACGACATCGCCACACGAGTTGTTCTTACAATGTGGGAGGGGAGAGGGAGGGATGTTTATATGCGGTGGGAACGGTTTAATTGGAAATATAAATTAGGCAATTGGGTTTACGCACGGCAGCAATCATCGCCCTGAACCGCGAAAACCTGGCACGACCGTCCTGAATAAGATTCCCGAGACTTGGCGAGGGCTTTCCTGGCTAAGCAAGCACTCGTAATAATTAAACTATCGACATCGAATTAGTGAGAAACGCGACAACTACAGGATACCTCTGCGACGGACCTGCCCGTGTCAGGCGGCAACATCGTGGTTACACCACGTCCCATGCCAACTAAGAGTTGTTTAGCGGTCTATAGAGCTCTAGGTGAAATCGGGTCGACTCTACTCACCTCTGGCTGGCTGTCCCGACATCGTTGTCCCCCCTACGATCATTTCTATGGATACATCTTAAGTCTACAAGTATGGGGTCTATGTGCCTGCCTGCCTATCCGTTAATCCATCTATCCTTCCGGCATTCCTCCATCTCTCTCTCTACGCTGGGCCATGTGTCCGTGTGTCCGCCTGAAATTCAAACTGTGTAGTCGGCCAACGCGTGACAGATGTGGGTCGGCCAACGCGTGACAGATGTGGGTCACCCAACATGCGGCAACGTCGCACGACAGCGCCATCGTCATCATCATCAGCAGCAGCAGCGCCATCGTCATCATCATCAGCAGCAGCAGGCCGCGTCAGTCGTTTGCAGTCCGAGTTCCAATAGAACGCGAAACAATAGCGCTAAGATTGTAACCATCACCTCCCCCCACCAACACACCCAGCCCCCAGCAATCTTTGGATCCCCCTCCCCCCCATCCCCCCGTCGAGAAAAAATTGCTCTCCATGTATGGGGCCCGAGCCACCAGGCCGATTGTCGTGGGGGGGGGGGGGGGGGGTAAAAAATAACCACGGCCGCCGCGCCTGGGGAGGTAGTCTTGCTGAGCACTTTCACAATGTCACATTCCCCTGGCGGAGTGGACGGCTGGAATGGGGGGGGGGGTGTGGGGGGGAGTGGGGGTGTGGGGGGGAGTGGGGGTGTGGGGAGTGGGGGTATGGGGGGGAGTGGGGTGTGGGGAGTGGAGATGTGGGGAGTGGGGGGGTGGGGGAGTTGAGGTGTGGGGGTGTGGGGGTGTGGGGGAGTGGGGGAGTTGAGGTGTGGGGGTGTGGGGGTGTGGGGGAGTTGAGGTGTGGGGGAGTGGGGGTGTGGGGGGGTGGGGGTGTGGGGTAGTGGGGGTGTGGGGTAGGAGGTGTGTGGGGGAGTGGGGGTGTGGGGGTAGAGGCGACCGGGGGCTGCGGGGTGGTGGAAGCACACAACGGCTTCAGGCGTCGCTCGCCGCCACTGATAATTAATTAACCGTGGCAGGGAATCTAACTGTGGTTGCCGGGCTCATTTGTGCACTGCGCCACCACTCCCACGTGCTCGTCGAATGCGAGAAGCTGCCTCGCGTCGCCATTCGCTCACTCTGCTCATTGCTCGCGGCTTCTCCCTTGGGCAAGTCTCCGTCACCCGCCTGAAGGTCGCCGACATCACATTTTCCGAAGATCGTTGGCATCATTCAAATTTACTGACATCCCATTCGCAGCCCCCTCTATTCCTGTCCACGTATTCTGTGTCGGTCGTAATTGGCCCCAATTAACATGACCGGCGTACCGTTATCTTGAGCGCTCGTCGTGACAGTGATCGTACGCAGCCAACTCTCGAAGACTGCTGCTAATCCGCATCAATGCTGCACTCCCTCCACGCCATTTACGCTCCCTGGATTCCCAGGCTGCTGTCCACACCGACATCACCTCAAAGGGGCGAACGCTGGGTGATCGTGAATCCTGCTGCTGTTGCACCCCAGACTGCGGTGGACACGCTGCTATATATCAACCAGGAATTGTGACTGTTAGCAGAGCCACGGTGGCGAGATGCTAACCACCTCGTCTGGTGTAGAGGAGGGCGTGGGTCCGATCCCGATCCTTGACGGGCTGTATATTTGGAGTTTGCGTGTCTCTCTCCCCGTGGTCGCGTAGATTTTTTTTCCGGTTCCTCTGGTTTTTCCCTCCACATTTAGAATAGACGTCACGCGTTTATAGTATTTGGCTGCTGTAAATTTCGACGTGATTATCCAATTCGTTGAGCTATCATTTCTGGCCAGGTGGCTTTTGAAAATGAGCTCTATAGCTCAGTGGCATTACCTGGTCAAATAAAAACAACGTTTTTACTTTTACATGCAGCTTGGTAAACCTATGTTTACGATATGTTGTTGTTATATCGTAGTTATTCCAATTGTCTATTGGCATTTAAGAGTTTAGTTATTCATGTTATTATCAGTTTTTATTTCGGTTGGAATGTATTTATACTTTGGAGGACTTTTCTGTACAGCGCATTTGAGATTTCGTCATGGACGTCGCTTTTATGAAATCAACAAACATGATTATTATCAACTATTACAATTATCAGCGTCGTTCGCAGTGACTGCGCATGAGAAATGAATGTTTTCCTTTTTTTCTTATCATTTGATGGCAGATTACATCGTACATTTAAATAATACATTGTGGTCACTCTCATGGCCATGTTCGTGACTAATCTTCGGTTAACCTTCCTCATTACTATTCCCTGAAGAAGGCCAGTGGGCCAAAATGTCAGGGTTTTCCCCCTTTCAATTCTCGTTACAGTATTAACAACATTTACACAAGACGCTTTGAACTAAACTCGTTAACCCCACTGGGTGCACAGAGGCAGTGGGAGGGGATACAATAAAAGTTAAAACTAAATAATTATTTATTTTACCAGGTAAGGCTCACTGAGCTATGTAGCTCTTTTTCACAAGCCACCTGGCTGTCACAAATGATAGTTCAACGAAGTAGTGGCTTATCACACGTAAATGTATTGCAGCCAAATACTCTAAACGCGTGATGTTGAATCTAAATGGGGAAGGGAAAAACCGGAGGACCTGGAAAAAAATCCACGCGACCACGGGGAGACAGACACGCAAACTCCAAATAATACAGCAGGCGTCAGGGTCGGTGAGTAACATGCCCGATGTTTCGGTTACCGCGCCGGGAGATAGAATCGAGCCGGCAACATCTGGATTTCAAGTCGAGCATGCCGACCGTGCCGACCGTTACACCACCGCACATCGCCATCGTCACCACCACCACCACGATAATTATAACTCTCAACCGCCTCGTCGATGTCTGAATTCATCTTTGACAACCGATGAGCGCCACTTAATCTGTTGAAGCTGTCGCCTCTCGCTTACGTTACTGAGCTATGAGTTTGCTCACCTCCGCCACCCTTATCCGAACCGACCCTGTGAAACCCGACCCCGCGCTCTGGCAAGGCGGAGCCCATCTGCTGTTTGGCAAGAGTGGTGTGACAATCCTTGCCGCTTTCCGTATCACAATCCTTCCTGCTATCAGTATCACAATCCTTCCTTCCATCAGTATCACAATCCTTCCTGCGATCGGTATCACAATCCTTCCTGCCATCGGTATCACAATCCTTCCTGCCATCGGTATCACAATCCTTCCTGCCATCGGTACCACAATCCTTCCTGCCATCGGTATCACAATCCTTCCTGCCATCGGTATCACAATCCTTCCTGCCATCGGTATCACAATCCTTCCTGCCATCAGTATCACAATCCTTCCTGCGATTGGTATCACAATCCTTCCTACCATCAGTATCACAATCCTTCCTGCCATCAGTATCACAATCCTTCCTGCCATCGGTATCACAATCCTTCCTGCCATCGGTATCACAATCCTTCCTGCCATCGGTATCACAATCCTTCCTGCCATCAGTATCACAATCCTTCCTGCCATCAGTATCACAATCCTTCCTGCCATCAGTATCACAATCCTTCCTGCCATCGGTGCGATGGTATCACAATCATTCCTTCCACTGGCAGCTTTTTGCGGGTTGGTTTTGTGCGCTATCGCGTATATGTAGCTAATCTATTTCGCGATCTAACCCCCAAAAAAACTATATTATGAATCTATTTTTACCCAAAAGTCGCACGATTTGAATTCACTCTACATGCGGCTATGCGGTCGGACGTGAGGCAACATTGTGTGTGCTGTATGTACCGTGTATGTGTGTACTGTGTGTGTACTGTGTGTGTGTGTACTCTGTGTGTGTACTGTGTGTTTGTGTTCTGTGTGTGTGTACTCTGTGTGTGTACTGTGTGTGTGTACTGTGTGTGTGTCCTGCGTGTGTGTGTACTGTGTGTGTGTACTGTGTGTGTGTACTCTGCGTGTGTACTGTGTGTTTGTGTTCTGTGTGTGTGTACTCTGTGTGTGTACTGTGTGTGTCCTGTGTGTGTGTGTCCTCTGTGTGTGTACTGTGTGTGTGTACTGTGTGTGTCCTGTGTGTGTGTGTGTACTCTGTGTGTGTACTGTGTGTTTGTGTTCTGTGTGTGTGTACTCTGTGTGTGTACTGTGTGTGTCCTGTGTGTGTGTGTCCTCTGTGTGTGTACTGTGTGTGTGTACTGTGTGTGTCCTGCGTGTGTGTGTACTCTGTGTGTGTACTTTGTGTGTGTACTGTGTGTGTGTCCTGCGTGTGTGTGTACTTTGTGTGTGTACTGTGTGTGTGTACTCTGTGTGTGTACTGTGTGTTTGTGTTCTGTGTGTGTGTACTCTGTGTGTGTGTGTACTCTGTGTGTGTACTGTGTGTGTGTCCTCTGTGTGTGTACTGTGTGTGTGTCCTGCGTGTGTGTGTACTCTGTGTGTGTACTGTGTGTGTGTACTGTGTGTGTGTGTACTGTGTGTGTATGTGTACTGTGTGTGTGTACTGTGTGTGTACTCTGTGTGTGTACTCTGTGTGTGTACTGTGTTTGTGTTCTGTGTGTGTGTGTGTACTGTGTTTTGTGTTCTGTGTGTGTGTACTCTGTGTGTGTACTGTGTGTGTGTGTACTCTGTGTGTGTAGTGTGTGTTTGTGTTCTGTGTGTGTGTACTCTGTGTGTGTGTGTACTCTGTGTGTGTACTGTGTGTTTGTGTTCTGTGTGTGTGTACTCTGTGTGTGTACTGTGTGTGTGTACTGTGTGTGTACTCTGTGTGTGTACTCTGTGTGTGTACTGTGTGTGTGTACTCTGTGTGTGTACTGTGTGTGTGTGTACTCTGTGTGTGTACTGTGTTTGTGTTCTGTGTGTGTGTACTCTGTGTGTGTACTGTGTGTGTGTGTACTCTGTGTGTGTACTCTGTGTGTGTACTCTGTGTGTGTACTGTGTGTGTGTACTCTGTGTGTGTAATCTGTGTGTGTACTGTGTGTGTGTGTACTCTGTGTGTGTACTGTGTGTGTGTACTGTGTGTGTGTACTGTGTGTGTACTGTGTGTATGTGTACTGTGTGTGTACTCTGTGTGTGTACTGTATGTGTGTACTCTGTGTGTGTATTGTGTGTGTGTGTGTACTCTGTGTGTGTGTACTGTGTGTTTGTGTTCTGTGTTTGCTCCTCGGCAGGCAGCGATCTCGTGCGGTTTCGCTTTTGTGCGCCCTTTTCTTCGAACCCATATCTACCGCACAAGGCGAGAGAAACCCGTGTCCTTGCAGTCACCACGAAGGTCCCCGGGAACATTGTCGCTTGTATTACGTGCGACAGGAACGCTTCAGATGCCGCCCTCCACTGACGTTAGCCGTGGTCGGGAATGCAACTCACGTCACCGGGCTCAGAGCGCAGTGTTCTAATCGCTACATTCGTGACGCTATTTAAGCGTCTCGTACGCGCGCAATGTACCAACATATCTCGTTTACAAACGCAAATGTCCTGAACCTCCGCGTAGGTCTTTAAATTGGAGTACCTGATGCAGCAGCTGGCACTGGGGAGACAATAGCGGCCGGGCTTGGTCTGCTGGCCGGACTAACACCCTCCCTCTTACTCAATAGCGGTCATTTAAGTCGCTAGAAGCGTAATACAACAACGCTTCCTAATTAAGTGTTACTAGCTAATTACAATTTTAACTTGTGACACTGTATAAAAATAGGCGAACCCCCCGTCTCTATCAATTGCAAGGGGCATTTGGCCCTCGCTCTCTGACAAAGCAAATCTTAATTATCGGCATGAGCTGTGGTCTATCCACTGCTGGATGACTATGCGCCCTTGTCGCCACCGCCGTCCTTCACGATTCTGCGACGCCACGCTCCAGAGGGGGTGGTGCAGCGAGTACCGTGCCCGGCCGCCTTTGCATCACCAAATGCCAATATTAACACGCCGTACCAGCTGCTCGTTTTGGACAGTCGATCTGCGGCGAGGTTCAGGATATATATATTTTTTTGCTTTGGAAACGAAACGTGTTAAATGGATAACGACAACGGCACACGACTACGTAATGACCGACACAAACTCTTGTGCACGGAGCCACTTTGCTCACGCCGAGTGAAGTTGCGCGCACGGACGTGCAATGTAGACATTTATTGAGAACGAGTGACTGATATTCTCATGTTCCTGAAGGGTGAGGGCCCTACCATTGGGTATACATATTCATAGTTGAGTCTGCATCTTCATAGAAACATCCCAAAAATACACAATTGTCACAATTTTGCCACATTAAAGACATTACAGCCTATATAGGTTGGAAACACATTTTTTAAAATGGTTTTTAATGACGAGATTTGCGAATCAGAATGAGACTATGTATTTATACTGGAGGAATCCGATGAGCTATAAAGCTCTTTTTCACAGATGTCCAGTCGGGGCGGGTACGAACGTTCTAGCAACAAATAAATATAACACGAGAGATATTAAGGTGCCAATTACAAATATTACATCAGATATTTTAAAGCAAAACATTTTGACCACCCGTATAGACACTCATTTACAGCTGAATTTACCCAAAGCACATGCTTCTAAAGCAGTGTGATTAGCTTTTCAAATCGGTAGGCGAAAAAAAACGGTCTTGAAAATCAGCAGCACCACCACTTAAATCGGTTAGCGTTGGCAAACATGGATATACACACACCCACACACGCACACACCATGGGCCAGAACAGACATTGGTACGACCTAACGTAAGCAAAACGTTAGTAGCACCGATACATGTACACGTATGGATGAGTGTATCACTTGATAACCCACTCAGTTCACACGGATATCACATCATTCACCGTTTGTTATCGGCCACCGCGCAAAGAGAAAGTGGCACAGTTTCAAAATGATGCCACAGATCTGGTGGCACCGACAGGATGAGATCTCTGGTCCGGGGCTCTAACGCGCGCACACGCAACAGCAGCACACGCCTCGCTCTGGCTACCTGTGGTTGATGGCAAGCAAGCGGTGAGGAACTGTCGCTGGTCGCAGGCGACTAAGCGGACACACTGCGTGCCCTTCTCTCTTTATTGCCGTGTCGTGGAGTGGGGGGGGGGCGAGGGGGTGGTGCAGGTCAGGAGATGGTGGCACTGATGATAAGAGGAGGGTAGTGGCGGGGGTGGGGGGGGGAGTGAGTTGTGTGCTATGTTGGATTTCGGTGGCAGCAAAAAATAGACCCTTGGAACAAAAGTGAGTGGTCGTCTCTGGGCGGCTGAGCTTATCGCAATTAGGCGAGAGGCACGCGGTAATGGAGTGGGGTGGTGGTCGGGGATGGGGGGAGGGAGTGCGCCAAGGCCATTCGCACGTAACTGGAGCCCAACGTAAACACGAGGCTGTCCGGGCACAGGGGGCAAATGCAAGAATGGAAAGCTATGACTGACAGCGGGATGTGTGTGTGTGTGTGTGCGCGTATGTGTGTGCGTGTGTTGAACTTCTTTCGCACCGTACGTAGCCAACCGTGCGTTTCATTACAGCCAAAAGAGTGCGGGAATTATTTTGTCGCGCCGCGTCCAACTTGGAGAACGTCGTTCTTGTTCGTTGTCACGGAATGAATCAGTTCGCAGGATGACAGGGATGTGGGGTACACTAATATGGGGTTATTACGGATAGGTGTAATGGTAGTGCATACGCTTAGCAACAAAAAAAAAAACTCAACCCTACTCCAAACCAGCCTTTGGCAGCGTTCCGGCAAATATCGAGTGAGAAATAAGCCCTGGGTGTGGGCAGCGGCAGTGTGGCGGTGAGCGCAACGCTGCGCTACAAACCCGGCGACCCCGAGTTCGATACCCGCTCACGGCTACCAACACCGGTGGCGATTATCTGCACCGGTCCTGGGCCTCCTATAGGTCGACTCAGCATCAAATGAGTACCTGGTGCGATGTGTAAACATCGCCGCGAGGGGGACAAAGGCGGCCAGGCGTGGTGCTGGCCACCCACCCCCTGGCGTGCCGTGTCGGCCTTCATAGGTGCTCGCTAACAGCACTTGCTCCAACAGTCTCTTAAGGCTATAAGGGGGATATTTGTCTTTGTGCACGTATAGCAATAATGTGTCCCACAATCGCGAGTTGGTGGCGGAGGCTCGCGAGTGACCAGCAGTGAGGAATTGGCTTGTGCGTGAATTATTACTCTGGTTGTGCTACAACAATAAAAATAATAGATGGACTGGTACTCGCCATGGAATTGTGGACTTGTCTCCAATGGACGAGGGCCGGCGTAAGGTCATGAGCAGGGAGCAATGATCATGGCAGCGTGGGAATACGGACTTTGGAGTACATTTATGGCGAGTAAAAATGTATAATTGTAATGCTTCATCATCACGATCGTCGGTAGATGTGAATGGAGGAGTTTAGCGTTCAATGTCATTCAGTGGCCGGAGAGGGAAAGGATCTATAGACATGGAGATTAGTGGGTTTTATGAACATCGTCGTTGGTGAATAATGTGGATATTATAACCACCATTGCATTAATATCAACAATACCTCTTTATCATTATCACTTCACTGTAAAATGATCACTACTATAACCAAACCATCACTACCCTCCTCATCGTCAAGTTAACATCAACACAATTCAATCATCATGAATTGTATCATGAGCAATACAATTCCATCATCGCGATCTTCATCATCATCGTCCACAATTACACCGTTATGTGTTCACCTGCAGACACTAATCACCGTTTATTTTATTTAACCAGGAGATAAATCTCGGGACCAGGGTTGCGAGAGTGACCGGGCTCACCGTAAACGCAATCAAAACGAAGCAAATAGAAATAGGCGCAAAAACAATCGCGTCGAAAATATTGCACCAACAGAACTCGTCAGTGAAACAACACGTTCCCCGTCGCGCGAGTCGGCTCGGGCAGATTGTGTTCGACTGATGACAGCACAATTCATTAGACAGCACAATTCATTAGAACAGAGCAGGCCCGAGCGCCGAATGGCTCGTTCCTCTCTTTGCACTTTCGCTCTTCATCTCGAGTCTTAGCTGTCAACTTTCCACTGCCACGCGCGCGCGCACACCGCATGTTACTCGGTCAAAGTCAGGCATTTGGGTCGTGTCCCTCCCTCTGAAGCTCCGTGTTTAACGATGACGGTGTTGGACTTGTGCAATAATGCGTGTGAAACGTAAACTTATGTTGTTAGAGTTTATGCATTCGCTCTGTCCGTTTGTAACTGGGGGGGGGGGGAGGGGGGGGGGAGGGAGGCGCTATAGCGCTTGTAAAAATTATCAGAACCAAACTTTCGTGTGAAGTCGTGTTACTAATAAGAGACTTACCCTGATGGCCCAAGAGGTACCTCAACCTTCGCGATACGATCCAGAGCAAAGTGGATTATTTTCCAACACGCAAACGCGTTTGCCCCGACAGCTTCCACGCTGAAGGTGAAATACTTCCGAACACAAAACGCACGTTGGCAATCATTACGGAATTCACGCGTAAAACAACACTATTATTCTCTTTTTATAGCCCCAAAACCTCTTTCCTTTTAGTTTCAAGGACAATGCATATATTATCATAGTATGTTTTTTGTTTTGCATTTTGACTGCAGGTATTGTGGTTAATGCAGACATGAATCCTTGTAAAAAAAAGGTTTCAGTTTTGTTGCCAGAAAAAAGGGGAAAAACCCTATTATTACATTTTGGTACTGGCAAAGGAGGTCTAATGATGTAGATGCACACCCCGAGCCCTCATTACTTTGGTAGTGCATTGTCTTTGAGCTGTGTGACGCCTTCTGGCGTCATCTGGTCGAGCACCAATTGGGTCGAGGCTCAAAAGAAAGCCGTCCCTTGGTGTGGACCAATCAGTTTCAAGGACAAAACATATATTATCATAGTATGTTTTTTGTTTGCATTTTGACTGCAGGTATTGTGGTTAATGCAGACATGAATCCTCGTAAAAAGGTTTCAGTTTTGTTGCCAGAAAAAAAAGGGGAAAAACCCTATTATTCCAAAAACCTCTATTATGGACAGTTTGGATAAGGCGTTGATGGTTAGGAGTTCTCAACTCGATTAAATGCAAAATCCTTCAGGTGCTGTTTATAATTGGCTACTTGATTGATGGTCATATTCATTTGCACGTGCAGAACCTGTTTGTGCGCTTTGAGACGTGACTAATTTTGTAAGTTCGATTTGGTATTAAACAATGCGGTGATGTTGATGACGCACCTTGATGATAATGCAGCAACAATCTCCACCACCGATGAAAAGTGAATGAAAGGCCACGAGTCATGACCACAGAATTCAAACCATGGACCACTCTGTAACGCCACAACGCCCTCCGATCGTTTCACTCACACGCCAGACGACCACTCTTGACGCCATCCACTGGCTCGATCACACTGACCTCCACTTAGAAATATCGCTCAACTCTCCCACCGGCTACGAGAGAAGCACTATTCGACTCATATGATGATAGCACATAAATGATAAGCATAACACCCATGTGATGACAATGAGACGGTGCTATCGCCCGTAACAATGGTAAAGATTTGTTTTAGAAATCGCGCCCTCCTGTTCACCAGGGCGTCTAGGAGTGATTTGCGTCGCATCTCATCTCAGCATTTTGAAAGAGCACCTCCTGTTGCTGCTGTCCCCGTGAGTACAAGGCGATTCATCCCCTAGCCTGCCAATGGGCAGTTGTCTGTCAGTAGAGGGCAATGATTGCTTTGTGTAATCCCAATTGAGAATGTGCAGATTTTATTTGCCCAATTGTGCCCATTTCACCGGCACACAACGGCCTACTCCTGGCCCTCTGACGTCAGGGGATCTTGAACAATCCACTGTGAAGCAGGACGCCGCGTAGCATTTTTACGGTTATTACACCCGCAGTGATAACCAGGGCGAACGCTGGATTCGAACCGTGAATCCCCTCGCAACAAGCGGCGAACGCGCTGCTGCTAGGCCACGTTACCTATGCAGATGGTAAATGGCATGCTATCCTCAATGATGCTGCTGATGATGACACCCGTGATGATGGTGACTGTAATCATAACACCCGTGATGATGGCAATGATGACATCCATGATGATGACACCTTGATAATGATGGCACCTTGATGATGAGATTATAAGCACATCCATGACGATGATCATGAGGTCAATTATTGCAACGATTGTAATAATAACGATGATGATGATGATGACGATATAATTGCTATCCCCCATGAAAATGATTGTAACTATTATGATGATGATGGCAATGCTTTGGTTAGGTGGCCCAACAGGGCAATTGAGGTGATCGCCTCCCATGAGACATAAGGGGCAGATGACGCCACACTTTCACCGCGGGGTGCGTTGTAAATTACGGATTCACACGTGTGTGTGTGTATATATAGATGCTGTATATTTGGGGACAGAGAGGCTATACATGCGCCGAGAGTGCTACCACAGCCACTTGTCATAGGTTCTGGAAAGTTCCCCTCCACCCCTGGGTGATACGGGGGGGGGGGGGGTCATCATGCTTGACGTGAACTAAAAAGCCACACACACACGTGCGTGTGGCGTGCGTCGTTTGACATTGACCCTCCTCGCTAGAGCCTCTGATACGGCCGGCATCGCCACAGAGACAGGCGTGCAGAGAGCAACACGCGCATTGAAGAACACGTGCAAGTTGGACGCACAACAAACACAGAGACATTGTCACATTGACCGTTAAGAAGAGTAAAGTGGGCTCGGGCAGGATAAGTCGCAACTCGAAGCAGGGTCGTCTATAGAGGGGCTCGGGGCAAATCCCACCGTGCCCCCCCCCCCCCCAGCCTTCAAACTAAACTGGAAGCATTACATCTGACGCCGTGATGTCGAAGCGCGTGGCTCCCCAAAGCGCGGGGCCTGGGGCTGCCACCCCGATGGTGGACGACACTAACGATGGAGTGGCAGCCAAAGGAGGGGAAACGCCGCCCAAGAGGGCCGAGGTGGAGCGATGGAATGAGCTCCTGTGCGGGTACGAGGGTGGATTGTTGCATCGCGGAGAACCAGAGGAGACAATCATTGACATTTGTACGGCGGAATGCACGCCGTAGATTGCCGATGTGCCGCTTATGGAAAGTAGCAAA